TGTGATAGTTTTTTAGTTGACCTTTTTTTTTTTTTTTTATGACCTTGTATCCTTTTTTTATGGATACTGAATTACTACCAAAATCCATCTAAAATTCATCAATAAAATGATAAAAATGAGAAAAGACAAATTCAATTATTCTTTTTGAAAAAATTTAAATGAAGTTACTATGGCTTAAAAGGCAAGGAAGTGTTATATTATCTTGGATATTTTTATCAGTGGCTATATAAACTAATTACTGCTTTATATTAGTATTGCTTAGAAAATACAGTGTCATTTGAGTTCAAGGAGAACTTGTTAACTAAGTTTGGTAAAGTCTGTTCTATTTTATTTAGAGATATATCTCTGAATGAAATGCGTGCTAACTATTAAATAAGTACATTTGCTATAATTAGCTTTATCCCGATTTCAGGAACATAGGTTACCTTCTGCAAATATTTTCAGGAATCCCCAAATAAAAGTTCAAGAATATATATAAAAGAGAATTTGACATTGCCAACAATTTGCTACAATGAAGGAAATTTTTATTTGGATAGGCAGAATGTACTATAGCTGTTCCTGGGAAAGGCCTTGTTTTGGAGGCGATAAGACAGCAGTTGTATGAGCCTTCCCCAGATGTCAGCTCCATCCTTTGCCCTCTTTGTAGAGGGAGAGGTCTTAGCTAATTCATGGCCAGGCTTTAGGGATCCCAAACCCTTATGCAAACAGAATTTTGTGTGAGTAAATTTTTGTCATGAAAGGGTCCATAACTTTTATCAGATTTCTAATAGTGTCTTCACCTAAGAAAGTTTATGACACATTGGTTTAGGTACTTAACTCACTACTTGCTCTCTGGTGAGGGCACAAAGTGGAGTGAACAGGAGAGTGAGGATTAACCATGGCTTTAAGACTTTTTGACACAGCTTGCAAGAAGATGTTGATGTCACTGTGTATGTATATGTAACTGATAAAAAAAATGGACAAAACAATATTTATCATTATAAAGCATGGTATACTCTTAACATTTTCTATTCTGTTTTATTTTTTAAATGGTGGTTGGAACCCACTAAGTTGATTTCTTATTATTCTACTTAGTGTTAACCCATAGTTTGAAAAATACTGGTCTAGTATCTCATCGTTGAAAAAACCCTTTCATATATTCTTGGTCCTCACAGGAGTCCTATGAGGTACATATGATCTTCTTCTTGTCTTTACAGATGAGATGGCTCAGAAGCTTGCTCAAGTTTTACTGTCAGTACTCAGCAGAGTCAGAATTTGACTTTGGGTCTTAGGTTTTGACCACAGCTCCACTGCACATTTGATTACATCTGATTCAAATTACAGTTGACCCTTGAACAACGTGGGCATTAGGGGCTCTGAACCCCCTGTGCAGTCAAATTCATGTACAGCTTTTGACTTCCTCAAAACTTAACTACTAATGGCCTACTGTTGACTGGAAGTTACCAACGACATAAACAGTCAACACATATTTATATGTCTTTACAATAAAATAAGGTAGAGAAAAGAAAACATTATTAAGAAAATTATAAGGAAGAGAAAATATATTTACGATATTCACTGAAAAAAGAAATCTGTACATAAGTGGACCTGCACAGTTCAAATCTGTGGCATTTGTGGGCAAAAACTAAAAGCATTTCCCTTAAGATCAGGAAAAAGACGGGGATATCTGCTTTCAGCACACTTATTCAACATAGCACTGAAAGTCCTAGCCACAGCAATCAGACAAGAAGAAATACAAGGCATCCAAATTGGAAAGGAAGAAGTAAAACTGTCATTATTTGCAGATGACATGAGATAGTATATAGAGAGAACCCTAAAGATTCCACCAAAAAATGACCAGAACTGATAAATGAATTCAGTAAAGTAGCAGGATACAAAATAAATATACAGAAATTAGTTGCCTTTTTATACACCAATAATGAACTACCAGAAAGGGAAACTAAGAAAACATCCCATTTACAGTTGCATTTAAAAAATACCTTGGAATAACTTTAGCCAAGTATGTATAAAATACCTGTACTCAGAAAATTATAAGCCACTGAAGAAAGAACTTGAAGATACAAATAAGTGGAAGCATATACTTTGTTTATGGAGAGGAAGACTTAACATCATTAAAATGTCCATACTACCCAAAGCAGTCTATAGATTTAACACAATTCCCATCAGGATATTTCACAGAACTAAGGACAAATATTCCAAAAATTTATCTGGAACCACAAAAGACCCTGAGTAGCTGCAGCTATCTTGAGGAAGAAGAACCAAGTTGGAGAATCATGCTACCTGATATTAAACTATTCTACAAGGCCATAGTAATCAAAACAGCATGGTACTGGTATAAAAACAGACATATACATCAATGGAACAAAATAGCCCAGAAATAAACTTATGCCTTTATGGTCAATTAATATTCGACAAAGAAGGCAAGAACATACAGTGGGGTAAAGATAGTCTGTTCAGTAAGTGGTGTTGGAAAAATTGGACAGATATGTGCAAAAAAATGAAATTAGAGCACCTTCTTAAACCATACACAAGAATAAACAAAATGGATTAAGGACTTAAATGTAAGACTTGAAACCATAAAAATCCTGAAGAAAACATAGGCAGTAATATCTCGGAGAGTTCTCATAGCAGTATTTTTTCTGATATGTCTCCTTGGGCAAGGGAAACAAAAGAAAAAAATAAACAAATGGGACTGTATCAAACTAAAAAGTTCTTGCACAGCAAATGAAACCATCAATAAGATGAAAGGACAACCCGCTGAATGGGAGAACATATTCACCAATGCTATATCTTATAAGGGGTTAATATCCAAAGTCTATGAAGAACTTATACAACTCAACACCCAAAACCCCCCAAAAAATTCAGTTTAAAAAAATGGGCAAAGGATCTGAATAGACTCTTCTCCAAAGAGAACATACAGATGGCCAATAGACATGTAAAAAGATGCTCACTGCCACGAATCATTAGAGAAATGCAAATTTAAAAATATAAGGAGATAACACCTCACACCTGTGAGAATGGCTATCATCAGTAAAGCAGCAAACACGTGTTGGTGAGGGTGTGGAGAAAAGGGAGCCCTCGTGCACTGCTGATGGGAATGCAGATTGGTGCAGCCACTGTGGAAAACAGTAGGGAGGTTCCTCAAAAATTAACAATGAAACTGCCTTATGACCCAGTGATTCCACTTCTGGGTATCTATCCGAAGAAACTTGAAACAGTGATTTGAAAGAATATAAGCATGCCTGTATTCATTGCAGCATTATTTAAAATAGCCGAGATTTTGGAAGCAGCCCAAGCGCCCATTAATAGATAAGTGGATAAAAAGGCTGTGGTGCATTTAGACAATGGGATACTAGGCCATAACAAAAAGAAGGACATCTTACCTTTTGTGACAGCATGGATGGACCTGGAGAGTATTATGCTATATGAAATAAGCCAGTCAGGGAAAGACAAATACTGTATGATTTCACTTATATGTGGAATCTAATGAACAAAATAAGCAAACAAGACAGAAACACACTCATAGATATAGAAAAGACACTGACAGCTGTTAGAGGGGAGGGAGGTTGAGGGGCTGGATGCAAAAGGCAAAAGGATGAAGCAAAAAACCCCCCCCAAAAACCCACAAAAAAACATAGACAAAAATATGGTGATTACCAGTGGGAAAGGGGTGGGGGGAGGTAGAAGAAGGTAAAAGGGGGATAAATGGTGACAGAAGATTTGACTTTGTTGGTATACACATGGTACAATATATAGGTGATGTATTATAGAACTGCACTCCTGAAATCTGTATAATTTTATTAACCAATGTTTCCCTAATAAATTCAATAAAATAAAATCCCCACAAATCTGTGGCATTCAAGGGTCAGCACTGTATTTCCTTTTTCCTTTTCTTACCGCCTTCCCTACCACAGTTTTGGAGAATAATATTAGCTCACACTACATCATTGGGCAAATCCTAATTCCCCAATTAACATACCTGCACAGTCCCCAATCTTATCGCTTGTCATCCAGGGTCTACTCTTAGAAGTTCTGGATTTCCCCATCTCTGTAATAGGTTCTTTCTGTTTTCTTCTCCACCTCAGACCAGTGGAACTGTGTTAGTCAACTGTGGAACTTAATATTCAGATCTCTGGGTCTCCAGCAGCAGTTCTGATTCTCAGTTGATCTGGGGTGGAGTTTAGACATACTATATGTTTTTTAAAAGCTCTACAGATAATTGTTATATATAGTCAAAGTTGAGATTTTTCTACCCTGGATACATTTAAATTGTTAGACCTAGAAGGAAACCTAAGATTTGAGAAGTAGCTAGAGACTCCTTGGTCCCTTAAAGGTTAGGGACTTAATATAATAGGTCTGTCCTCTCCCTAACTTTGTGGATGGGTATAGCCATTTAAAACATATACACACACATTAAAAGTATGTTTTATTGATTTTAAAGAGAGGGGAAGAGGGAGAGAGAAACACTGATTGGTTGGTTGCCTCCCATACTCACCCTGACTGGAGACTGAACTAGCCACCTGGTTTAAAATCAATAAGACATATTTAGGTATGTGTCCTGACCGGGAATTGAACCAACATGGGACTACACTCCAACCAAGTGAGCCACGCTGCCAGGGCTCACTTGGAAACATAATCATTACCTCACTGAGTTGTATAGAATCTAGTGATTCTCCCTGCTGCCTCTCTTTTGATGAAATACTGGAAATCATAGAGTTGAATGTGTTCATCCAAGAATACAATTGGAAAAGGCACATGGTGAAATTGTAATCTTGGATTATTGTTTAATACTTTCATGAATAATAAAGTCTTTGAATGTGTAATGTTTTTGATTCACAGATTTGAACAAATAATAACTGAACTTTATGCTTCAAGTTAAATAATAGATTGGACCAGAAAAATCATACTTTGAGTATTATATTATGCTGAGCAAAACAGTTGATAAAATTTGAATTTCTTTAAAAAAAATACTTCAAATATCTTTCCCTTTCTCTTTTTAGTTCTTTTTGGAAGTGGATATCTTCTCAGACAATAAGAATTATAAGAGGTCAGTTACAAATAATGCCCCTTGTTATTTTCAGTGTGATAAAAACTTTATGTTCATGTGCTAAAATATTAAAATGTAAGCTTTTATGTTAAAAGTTGCCTCCCACAAAAGAATATAGGCAGGTTTAGGGGGGATAATTTGAGTGAACGAGTCTGACAGTGGTAGTATTCCACCACCTTTTCTCTTTAATCCAGGGCTAGAATCAGTGGAAGTGGGACGAGCTGTGGATTAGCTTCTAGAGTGTCTCAGCAGCTACTCAGTGATTTTCCATACATGACCTCTCTTCTGGTGGTTTGTAGGCTTGTGCCTAGGAATACCATTCAGTAGAGTTGCTGGTTGGTGGACAGGCTCTTTAGCTGTTGACACTGGGCTGCTTTCGATCTCTGCAATCCTTTAGGGGAAGGCTGCCTTCATGCTCTTCTTAGCTAGAAAAGAAAAATTTGAAGTTGACTCTTTGGAGCCTTTCGTTTATTAGTCAACCCTTTTTCTCCCATGGAATCGGAGAAATGCTTCTTTCTCATGAACTTTATTTTTTAGTGTTGTCACCTAATTTTGGTCAGACTATAAAGGTAGAATGTGCCCCTGAGCACCTTACTTATTTCTCTTGTGAAGAAGGCGGCCATTATTTTCTGTGAGCTGAAATAGAATTTTTTAAAATCTATTGTTCTTAAACTTGGTTATGCACTGCTCTAAAATGGGAAAGGGAGCCTTTTTGCTGTTGTACCTTCTGGTGTTTGGAGTGGCCAGTTCGTTAGAGCTCCCCCCTCCCTCGCTCCCTTGCTTCATCCTTCTCTCCCTTTTAACCTTCCTTCCCCCCCTTTTTAAAAATGATTTGATTTTCTATTAAGGTTCTGGAAGTGAACTCTTTATAAAATTTGGAGACATTAAAAAATTTTTTTAAGGAAACCTAATATTCTAAGGGAGAAATGTATAGAAAATTTAGATGTCAAGTTTGCATGATATTTTTCCATTTGATTTTAGTTTTTTTTGGGTTCTTTTCATCCTCACCCTATGATATTTTTCCATTGATTTTTAGAGAGAGTGGAAGGGAAGGGTGGGGAGGGGGGAGAGAGAAACATCGATGTGACAGAGACACATTGATTGGTTGTCTCCCACATGCACCTCAGCTGGGAGCAGGGATTGGACCTGCAACCCAGGTATGTACACTTGATGGAGAATCAAATCCATGACTCTCTGATGCACAGGCCGGCACTCTAACCACTTAACAACACTGTCCAGTGTGTTTTTATTGATTTTAGAGAAGAAGGGAGAGGGAGAGAGAAACTTGAGTGAGAGAGAGAAACATTGATTGGCTGCCCCCTGCATGCCACCTACTGGGGATCAAGCCCGCAACCCGGGCGTGTGCCCTGCCCAGGAACTGAACTGGCGACCTCTTGGTGCACGGGATGATACTCAACCAACTGAACCACACTGGCCAGTATCTTTATTCATTTCAGAGAGAGGAAGGGAGAGGGAGAGAGAGAGATAGAAACATCAATGATGAGAGAGTTGTCATTGATCAGCTGCCTCCCACATGACCCTGACTGAGGATGGAGCCCACAACCCAGGCATGTGCCCTGACCAGAAATCAAACGGTGATCTCCTGGGTCCTAGGTAGATGCTCAACCACTGAACTGCGCCTGGTTGGGCTAAACACCAAGTTTTAAATGAACACCATTCTTCCCAAACTCTTACTGCATTCTCCCCAATACTAATAACTGAAAGTACAATATCAAAACAAGCAGCTTTCACCTACTAAAAAGGTTTCTAATTATCTCTTGGACATCACCAAATTGATAAAGAGATTGAGAATGGCTTTTAATTTTTTTGAGAAAGATTTCTTTGAGGAAAAGGAAATTGGTTTTAATTTTTTAGGCAGAGTTACTGTAATCTGGATTTTTCTCCCTTGTAGAAAATAAAGGCCCTGAAATAGAATAGCCAAGGAAACAAATTCTGAAACTCTGCCTTGCTTGCAAGTTCAAGCTGTGGCATGGCGCATTAGGTATAACCTGTGGCTATCCTCAGGTATAGGTCATTGTCTGTAACCCGCTTTTCTCACTGTTCATTTTCTCCATAGCTCTGCGAGCTCATTTTGAAGAAATAATGGATGAACCAACCCCCTTGGCCAAACCTCTGGAGCTGAATCAGCACTCCCGATTCATAATTGGTTCTGTGTCTGAAGATAACTCAGAGGATGAGATCAGCAGCCTGGTGAAGCTGGACCTACTGGAGGAGAAGGAGGGCTCTCTGTCACCAGCTTCGGTCAGCTCAGATACGCTTTCTGATTTGGGGATCTCTAGCCTACAGGATGGCTTGGCCCTACACGTGAGGTAAGAGAGAGTAGTTTAATGTTTTACTTATTTAATCTTTCCTATTGGTTTTACTGAGTTCTGAAAAGAGCAAGAATAATTTTAGCCAAGATTGCTTCCTCCTTTCCTATGTCACTAGTCTTAAAGCTTTGATGAGTAAGTGGAAAATGATGTATTTTGTCTGGAATACAGTTTTTGAAAGTGTCCCCTCCTAAATGTTCCTCTCAACCTTTTCTGGTTCTTTCTACATACTATGTGTTTTACTGAGACCCAGAGAATGAGTTAGTTTGAGGAATTCCAGTCTCTGTACTACTTTGACTACCACTGTTGTAACTATCTTGGTGATTGATAGGACTTTTGTAAGGGTGGACAAATTTGTAGTAATCTCTCTTTGAACTGCTTCATCATGTCAGGAAGTTATATTCTATTTCTGGCAGGGCCAGTACTCAATAAAGAGCTGTGGTAGGAACAAGGGGTTGTTATAAAGCTCTCCTTTTTTTTTCTAGAAATACAATCCTCTATATGTAATTGAGAATGTCAGTAAACAGTAACACTGTATTATTCTTATTCGTTGATGTTTTGTTATACAACCAGCGCGTGACATACTAACCTTTGGTCATTTGCTTTTCATTTCTTGGATTAAAGGGTCTGTATTAGTGGTTCTTGGTTTTCACTGTACATCAGGATCATTTGGGGAGCCTTAAGAAATGAACCCCATCACCATAGACTCTGATTCATTTGATATTGGCTTGGCTTAGAGCTGGGGCTATTTCTTTTAAAGCTCTCCAGATGATTAATATACTGCCAGGGTTTAGATTATAGGTCTAGCCTAGATAAACATAAGTTAGGGTGAATGTTGCTGTTGTTATTATCTTGGTGCTTATTAATGGATCATAAAATAATTTACCTCCTTTTTATATACTCAAGATACAGACTCTATAGTAAAATCCCATACTGGGTCTGGCTGAATGTGACTTTCCTGTTTTATGGTTATCCCTGGGACCTTGGGGCTTTGGCTTCTGAAAGATCAGATAGTGCAAGTCAGGGGTGGGGAATGTCTGGCCCTCAGGCCGTATATGACCTCAAAATAATTTGGTCTGGCCCTCCCAAGGCACCTGCAAGTGGGACTCAAAATTCAATAAATGTAGGAGCGTTTTTCATAGCTGATTTTTAAGTTGATAATTTTGTATGGCCCACGAATGATGTTATAAATATCCAAACGGGCCTTGGCAGAAAAAAAGTTCTCCACCCCTGGTGTAAGTGGACATCCCCATTTAGCTATTTGGAGGTTGAAAGGAAGGGGTTAAGCAAGTTAATTATGCTTTACTTCACAGATTCCTAGAACTGCATTGAACCAGAGGGGTAATTTAGCCTCATTTTTTTATTTAAATAGATGAGAAAACTGAGGCCTAAAGAGGGGAAATAACTTGCCTAAGGACAAATAGCCTGAAAACTGGAATTCAAAGTCAGATGCCCCAATTCCATTTCAGTAACTTTTCTACTCTACTTCCCTGACTATACAAGTGCCTAATTTATATATCTAAGTAGTTCAGACAAGATTGGTGTACAAGGTATTATAGTCATGCCCACATAATGATGGACTGCAGTAAGATTATAATGGAGCTGAAAAATTCCTATCACCTAGTGATAACACAAATACTTACCATTGTGTTACAGTTGCCTACAGTATCCAGTACAGCAACATGCTGCACAGGTTTGAAGCCTAGAAGCTGTAGGGGAACAGAATTTGTCACCCCAAAATAAGTCTATTTGACATAAGGATTATTTTAGGCTGGTTAATTTTAAGAAATAGCAGACATGGGAGAATCTCTGAAAACTAAGTAGTTACCCTTTGTAAAAGACATTTACATTTGTAAATGACTATAATACCTTGTTCACCAATTACATTTGTCTCCCTCTTCGTACAGGGAAGAGAAGGGCTGACCTCATCTCTAGAAAATCCTACTTAAATCTGCATAGCGATCTTTTTTTTCTTTTTCTTTCGTAATCCTCACCCAAGGATATCTTTCCATTGCTTTTCAGAGTGAGTGGAAGAGAGAGAGAGAGAAACATCGATGTGAGAGAGACACATTGATTGGTTGCCTCTCGCAGGGGCCCTGACCCAGGCTCGGGATTGCAACCAAGGTACATGCCCTTGACTGGAACTGAACCCAAGACCCTTCCATCCACAGGCTGACACTCTAACCATTGAGCCCAACTGACTAGGGCCGCATAGCGGTCTTACCCTTGTTTACTGTGCTTTTTCTGGTAACCTCTAACAACTGACTCCCCCACCCAGTTGAAGATGGAATTGACGGTGGTGGCTGCAGCCATTTTGACGAGTTACTCAGTTTTCCTGGGTCTCTCCCATGTATACATGTTATTAAACTTTTGTTTGTTTTTCTCCTGTTAACCTATCTGTCTTTTATTATAGGGGTTTCTCAGCCAAGAGCCCAGAAGGGTAGAGGGAAAATTCTTTTTTCTCCCCTACAGAACAATAAGCTATGCCATATAACCTAGATGTGTAGGAAGTTCTACCATCTCATGTAAGTGCATTCTACAATGTTTGCACAACAGTGAATCGCCTAAGGCCACATTTCTCAGATGTATGTCTGTCTTTAAGTGTAGAGCATATCTAATCTCTGGGAATGGAGGGCAGTATTTAGTGGCAGACCAAAGGGGTCAGGTCTTTATTTTTATGTAAACATTTTTTATTAAGTGACCTTTATAGGTCACTTACTTAATGGTTGTGATCTGAAGGCTAATACTGGTGGTGGTATCTTCCCCTTCAAGATCATCTGTAAATGTGTTGGGGTTGTGCTTGGTGGCACTACTTGCTTTTAGAGGACAGAGGACCAATGATTCTAAACTTTCTGCAATGTACTGGATAATCCCACACCACTAAGAATTGTTCTCAAAATGTCACAGTGTCCTATTGAGAAAGATTGGGTTAAATATAAATTCTTAAAGCCACATAGTACTTTGAGAAATTTGTCTAATATGAGACTATGGGAAACAATATCCATTTGTCGGATTCGGAAATTGTGAGTTTGGCAATGGTAAGATAAATACCATTATAGGAAACTCACCTGATGATATTACAAGGCAGTTTGTAGTTGCTAAGTCATTCCCAAAGTTGATGGCTATGTGATCAGTGATATGTGCACCTGAGAATTTGTTTGCATGTCCTACTGTTGCAAAACTCATTCCCATACCTTGTGGAGGAGCTATGGATTGGAGTGTGATCAGCATCCTGAGTCGGAGATAGTGTCACTTCCCACTCACTTCTGAGCTAGTGAAGTTTGCATTTACTGCTTAGATTTTAAAAAATTATTAGATGTATAGAAAAGTTGGAGATCCAAAAAGTATAAAGAAATAAACAATACAAAATACAATCATTCAGTGATAACTGCTGTTAATATTTGATATGTTTCCTTTCAGTGTTTTTTACCCATTAACGTAAATTTCATTAAAGAATACATACATAGGTGACATTATAATGAATATAAAGCTCTGTTTCCTGCTTTTTAAAAAATATGTAACATTTTCTCATGCCATTAAAAATCTTGTATAAACTTAATTTTTTTAATTTAGCTTTTTATTTTGAAATAATTTTAGATTTAGAAGAATTGGCAAAGATAGCATAAAGAGTTCCTGTGTATCCTTCACTCAGCTTCCTCTAATATTAACATTTTCCCTAATCACAGTACAGTTGCAATACAGTAGAGTTGTCAGATTTAACAAATAAAAATATAGGACTCCTAGTTAATTTTGAAATTCAGATAAACAGTGAATGATTTCTTAGTGTGAAAAATTAAATACTACAAATACTGAATGAGACATACTTCTAAAAAGGAGTATTTGTTGTTTGCTTGAAATTCAAGTTCAAATGGGCATCCTGTAATTTATCTGGTAACCTTGTATTTATTAAAACTAAGTAATTGGGCCCTGGCCGGCGTGGCTCAGTTGGTTGGGTGTTGTCCCCTGCACCAGAGGTTGCCAGTTCGATTCTGGTCAAGGGCATATGGCTGGGTTGAGGGCTTGATCCCCAGTGGTGGGCATGCAGGAGGCAGCCGATCGGTGTTGCACTCTCACATTGATGTTTTCTGTCTGTCTCTCTCTCTCCCCCTTCCACTCTCTCTGAAAAGCAATGGAAAAAATATCCTTGGGTGAGGATTAAAAAAAAAGTAAGGGAGAGCAAAGTTGGAAGAGTTATACTTCCTGATTTCAAGACCTACTATAAAGCCATAGTTATCAAGGCCATCTGGCATTGCTGCAAGGTTAGGCATATACATCAGTGGATCAGAATTTAGAGTCCACAACTAAATCTTTATCTGCGTGGTCAGTTGATTTTCAGAAGAGGTACATCCTTGATTCAAGATTTCTGTGCTTGGAAAAGCCCCAGTGTAAATGTCTCTCACAATGTGTGCTGCAGTATAACTCAGGCTGCATTGCAATCAAGCCAGCCAATGCATCACTGTCTGCTGGATAAACTGCTACGTCATCCTTGGTGCTTGGCATGTTACAATGCTGGGATCAGTGTGGGCTTCTAGTTGGATTTTGTGCCAGGTATGTGTCTACTTCGGACACTTTATTTATGGTAGATTAAAACGGGGATGCTTTGAATTTGGAGGAATGAATGAATGTGGCTTTTTATTCTCTGTGTTCTAATATTACAGGATTGTGAGCAGCATCCATAAAAGATTAGAAACTAGCTTTGTTTTTGGGTCTGGGTGTGCTGTGTTAGTGTTTAGTTGTTTTAGAAAGATCCCTTTGGTGAAAGAAAGCACAAATTCTATTACTGAATGTGCCTCTTTGGTATATTTTTCTGATATAATCGAGCGCAAAATAGCCTGCTTTATTCTATACTCAATGCTTTATTTGGTTTTTGAATGTTCAAGTTATATAATAAAGGCAGAGAGCGATTTTCTTTTGGGAACTACCTACATCTGGAGACTCTTAAGATGTGTGTAAAATTGAGCTCCTTCTACATCTGTGGTCACTATAAATGTTTTAAACAA